TCTTTATATTTAAAGTGGGTCTCCTGTAGTCAACATACAGTTGGGTCTTATTTTTTTGATCCACTCTGACGTCTTTAATTGATACACTTAAGCCAGTGACATTCAAAGTGATTACTAGTAAAGTTGGATCAATACCTACCATGTCTGTTATTGCTTGTCCTAGTTCTTTGTTACTATTTTTCTCTTCAATCTTTTTCTGCCTTTTGTGGTTCTTAACTGAACTTTTTATATGATTCTATTTTCTATCCTTTCTTAGCATACTAGTTTTATCTCTTTTTTTCCTTTTTTTAATGGTTGCTCTAGAATTTGCAACATTTACAACTAACCCAAGTCTACTTTCAAATAACACTATACTGCTTCATGGGTAGTGGAAGTACCTTATCATAAAAAAATAATCCTAATTCCTGCTCCCCCCTCATGTCACTGCTGTCATCTATCTCACTTATACATAGCATATCTACATTTTACTTATATCCATATACACATATATAATTGAACACACTTTTGCCATTACTTTAAACAAGCTGCTATCTCTTAGATCAATTAAGAATCAGAAAAAGAAGCTTTTGTTTTACCTTCACTTATTCCCTCTCCAATGCTCTTCCTACATCTGCAATGTAGATAGGCATTTCTGACCTCTATCATTTCCTTCTCTCTAAAGAACTTTTAACACTTCCTGTAAAGCAAGTTTACTGGCAATACATTTCTCAGTCATTATTGTCTCAGATTTTTCTTCTGTTCCTTTCTCCCTTCCCCTTCTGGTATTCCCATTACATATACATTACACCTCTTACAGTTGTCCCACAGTTCTCAGATATCCTATTCTGGTTTCCCACCCCCATCTTTTTTCTCTTTGCTTTTCAGTTTTGGAGGTTTCTATTGAGATATCCCCAAACTCAGAGATTCTTGCCTCAGCTGAGTCCAGTCTCTTAATAAACCCCTCAAAGGCATTCTTCATTTCTATTACAGTGTCTTTGACCTCTAGCATTTTGGGTTTTTTTCTTAGAATTCCTACCTCTCTGTTTACATTGACCATCTTCCTTTCATGTTGCCTACTTTATCCATTAGAGCCCTTAACATACCGATCATAGTTGTTTTAATTCCTAGTCCAACATCCCAGCCACATTTGAGTCTGGTTCTGATGTTTGCTCTGTCCTTTGCCTCTGGACTGAGAATTTTGCGTGTGTTTCTCAGTCCCATGTCCCTGCCTCCCCTTTAGGTGGGATAGGATGGTTAGAGCAGGCTGGAGTTGGTTATTTCCCTTCCCCCAGGTCAGTTATATTCTGATTAAACCCTAGCATAATGTTCTGGTTAAACAGTTTCTCCTGAGGGTAGACCACGTTAAGAACAGAATTTTTAGCACATTTCAAAAATGGTTCCTTCTCGCCTCCTCCTGCCAGTGGCACGAGGGGCTTTACCTCTGAAATTCATAGTGAGAACAAAATCAAGTTCCTGGAGGTAACATCCCCAAAGTGTGGGGGCCCCCTTATAACTGGGTCCCTCTGGGTTTTTTAAAACTCAAGAGTCATCTACACTGCGTGTATAGCAAGTCGTCAATTATAGCTCGGGTTTTTCTACCCCAGCACTGGTTCCAGTGGAGGTTTCTGTTCATGAACTTTTGCTCTGAGAAGTTGTAATTCTCTGTACCTGCCTGTCTCTCTCCAATTTGGGGGACAACAGTTTGCCATGTGACCTCATTCTCTTAATGATCTAAGAAGAGCTGTTCATTTTCAGTTTGTCCAGCTTTTTATTTGTCATTAAAAGAGACTGGCAACTTCTAAGCTCCTTACATGTGGGGCCAGAAACTAGAAATTATGATTCCCTTTTTCATTTAAGCTAGTTTGAGGTGGGCTTCTTACAAAGGAATCCCACTGAAAATAGTAATACTTGGGTAGCGCTTTTCCACTTATAAGCACTTCCCCAGCTTTTAGCTCTTTTGATGAGTAAATGAAGGCCTAGAGGTGGGATGTGATTATGAAAAGTTCAAAAAAGATGGAAAAAACAGCCTGGGCCTCAGCTTAGAGATAAGCAATCCAATCCCTTTATTTTACATATCGAAAGACAAGCCACAGTCTCATACATTCTCGGTGAAGCTTTTTTAGAAGATGATCTGGCAGCACCAATCAATGGTAAGTGTACAGAGCCTTTGCCCCAGCAATTCTACTTTCAGAAATAGATCCTACTCACACATGTGCACAGATATGTTCATTGTGGTACTGTTTATAGGAACCGGGACAATTAAATGTCCAGCAATAAAGAAAAAATCATATTGACTATAGTGTGCACTGCTGCGGAATGCTGCACAGCCAATAAGAAAGAATGAGGTGGATTTCTATGCACCCCACGAAAGTTTTCCAAGACATGGTGGTCAGTGGAAAAAGCAGGGATCAGAACATGGAGAAAATTATCTCATTTATGTAAAAGAGAAAATAAGGAACTGACACATGTGTGTGTGGAAGTACGTAATAGAGAGTATTGAAAAGGCTGGATACCCTGCTGTCCTCAGTGGTGACCTCTGGGAAAGGCGCTGATAATGAATGATCTTTGTGTTTTGTTTATTGTCTTTCTGTATTGTTGTAATACATTAAGAATGCAGGTGTGGCTCAGTGGGTTAGAGCATGGTCCTGTGCAATGGAAGGTCACGGGTTCAATTTCTGGTCAGGGCACATACCTGGATTGCAGATTCGATCTCAGCCCTGGTCCAGGCATGTGGGAGGCAACCAATCAATGTTTCTCTCTCACATTGATGTCTCTCTCTCTCTCTCTTCCTCCCTCCCTTCCTTCCACTCCCTCTGAAATCAATGGGAAAAAATATCCTCAGGTAAGGATTAAAAAAAATGCATTTATGTATTACTTGGCCAATAGACCCACAAACAGACAAAAACCAGGGACAGGAAGAATATTCTGCCCAGGGACACAAAACACAATAAAGGGAGACCTGGTCCAGACACGGATGTGATTCCTAACCTGGACTCATTCTTCTACCATCGGAGTCTCCTGCTGTTTCCTTTAGTCACAGCCCTTTTATAATCACAGCAGCCACACTTTATCTTGAAGTCGGGTCACCACAACTCCAAGAGGTATAAACTACCCTCATGCATATTTGTAGATGAGAAGACTGAGGCTCCAGGAGGAAAGTTCCAGTATTTGTAATTTTGGGTCTTAATCCAAAGAGAAAGACCTTTGTATTTCTGCTTCCTGATTCCTCCCACCCACAAACCATTTAAAAAATGCAGGTTGGCCTGAAAGAACTGACCTGATACTCCTCCTCAGAAAGGCCCTCAGCCAGGGCGTGCTGGCGTAGCTGGTCAGGATCCTGGGCACGGAAGAGGCGGCTGAGCAGGGCATAGATGTACGGGGCCTCGGGGGAAGTCTGCAGCAGCACAGCCAGGCCTCCATACCAGGCGGCGCGTGACAGGTGGTGGGCATAGAGGCGCTCTGTGGGCGACAGCAGGCGGAAGGCCTCCCGGCAGTCCAGGCTAGACACGCCGATGTCATTGGGCAGGATGTACTGGGTGTCCGCCATGGGTCCTGCTGAGAACCATTACCATCATCACAGCCATCATTTACCCCACATCAACTGCACACCTGGCTCTGCACTCTCATGACTTCATTTAATCCTCCCAAAAGCCCATGAGGAAGGAAATGCCATTGTACCCATTCACCATGTAAACTAACTGAGGCTCAGGGAAGGTTAGGTGACTCACCCAAGGAGATTACATTGGTGGGCCATATTTGGCTAGTGGCTCCTCAACCTTAAATATTAAATCCAACTACCTAGTCTTACAGATGGGGAAACTGAGGCCCAGAGAGGTTAGGAGCTTTGCCTAATAACACAAGGCAAGGGTCAGATGCAGGGATCTGCATCTCTAGACTCCCAGCCCAGGTTCCTCTCTGGCTACCCCCTCTTTCTGACCTCCTAGCCTCCTCTTCAAAATTCTCCTGCATGTTCTTCAATTCCATTCACCGCTATGTTCACAAGGACAGAGTCCAAGGCTACCAGCTGGAAGACCCAGGTTCCAATCCTGGCTCAGCCCCAGGCTCCTAAAATCAAGTCAACTGTTTCATTTCTTTTCACTTTTCTGTGCCTCAGTTTCCACCTCTGTACAGTGGGGGTGATAACAACCCCAACCTCACCAGGTGGGTGTGCAAATTAGATAAGGTCACACCTGGTGGAATGTATCTACAACGGTTAATGATTTTCCTGGTGCTTTTTTCCTCTCTCAGTGTTCCCAGGATCTGTCCCACTCTCAGTGGTCCAGCATGCTCCTGCTCTCTCCCTGTGCTCGGCCAGGGGAGCTGCAGAGCCACAGAAGTTCAGAGCTGGAAGAAAACTCACTTTACAGATGGGGAGGCTGAGGCTTGGGGAGACCAAGCAACTTACGAAGGTCTCAGAGCCCCTAGGGACCCAGGGCATTCTCCACACCTTCCTCCCTTACAGGTAAAGTGTCTCCAGCATCCCCCGCCACTCCCGATGCTCCGCCCCAAAAGCACAACCACCCGGGTTCCGAAAGGGGTGTTAACCCTTTGCTGCGAGATCTTTCTTCAGCCTCTGGGCCTCGATGACTTTAGAAGGGCTACTGGATGGGGGAAAGAAAGGGAATGATCTTGCACCCGGTTCAGATTCGCCCTGTCCCCCAAGGATGACACACGGTGACCCAAAACCCGGGCGCCGCGCCTCACCTGCAGCAGCTGCTCCGATCGCAAACTCACTTCCTGCTTCCGGCTCCCCCATTCATTGGGGCTCCGCGAACTCCGCCCCCACCAGCCAATTGTCTGGCCTCGGGATTCAGATGGGCGTCGGCTCCAGCCAATAGGAGCGCTGAGGCGAGTTCCGCCTGGCCGCGGGCTCCCCGCTTCGCGACTCCACGGGGTCGAGGGGGGATGGCCCTGCGGCCTTGGCCTTTGTCCGCCCGCAGCGCTCGCGCGGGGGCGGGGACCTGCGTGGCGGGCCTGGTACTGGAAGGGCGGCCTGACAAAGTCCCCCTAGCGCGGGCGGGGCGGCATGGGTGCCACTCGCGGGGCACCAGGGAGCCCCGCCCCCGCCCCACACGGACGGCTCCGACCCCGCGCTCCTTTGGGGCTTTTCCCAGTCCCTGACCTCAGTGTTCTGCAGGTGGGAGCCTGCACAGTGGGGGTGATGTGGCTCCCCCTTCCTCACGGGACTCGATGGCCAGTGGGTGCAGGTTCCTTGGAGTCGGCCGAGAGCTCCAGTCAGGGAATCCAGGCTGCAGAAGAGCAGGCTGCTGCCGGGGCCGAGACGGTCCCCCCGGTGCCTGCACTACCACTGACCCACCGTGGGCAGAAAGGGGGGTGGCGGCAGCCGCTAAACATCTCTGAGCCTCAGTGTTTTCAGCACAAGGACGCGAGGGGCCTGGCAATTTCTTGGCGCTTGCCGGGCGCCTGATGGATGGGAAAGTCACCCGCGACCAGGAAGGCTGCCCGGCACAGCCGGGCCCGAGATCCACCCTTGCTTGTCAGGATGGTCTCAGTGGAGCGCGGCCTGGGTGGGGTGCGGCTATGAAAGTGCCTGGGGCCCAGCGGGAACGACTGGGGAGTATCCTGAGGGTCCCCTGTCAGAGTGGGGGCGGAGTCAGGCCATCGGAAGTCGAATCTGGCCTCCACCGCCTGCTGGCTGTGTCCTTGGGTGGGTCACTTTACCTCTCTGAGTCCTGGCTTGCCTAGCAGAAAAACCGGGCTAATAATTGTTTCCACTCTGAGGGATGTCTGCTTGAGTGAAGTGTTGACTGGTCAGTGCTGCCCCCTAGTGTTGTGCGGAGAGTCGTGCGGGGAGAAGGGAATACCTGAAATACACACCCCCTCCTCGCCAGCCTTGGCGGCACCTGTGTCTAGCCTCAGAGCAGCATCTGCCCAACATGAGCACCAGCTGCTTGTTCACAAAAGTGCCCAAGCTCTACTTGAAACAGTGCTACTATTAGCTCTGATATGATTATCACAGGAAGAGCTCAATAAATTGGTCTATGTCCTTAGAAACATCACCCTCTTCTTTCTGTGCCTGTTTTCATTGTCTTTGAGTATAAAATCTTTCTTGCCTGACTTGGGTGAAGTTGAAATGTACACTGGTAAAGGAGGTAGTGCTGTCCACTTCCACGAGTGGGTAGCTCAGGCCAGCAAAAGATCCCAGTACTCCTGAGAGCCTCAACCAAGCTGCATTTTTATGATCACAGCTACTCTGAGCTTTACTGAGGTCCTGTGCTAGCAGCTGCACATGGAGGATCTCATTTTATTTTTGCAAAAAACCTGAGATAGGATATCATCATTCTGCCCATTGGACAGATGGGGAAACTGAGGCTAATAGGTTCATCGACTTCTCTAAAGCCACCCAGCATATCCTCAGGTGTCCCTGAAAGGGAGTTGAGCCTTCCTCAGACTTTCCACCACAGTTCTCTCCACCTGCCCCAGCACACGCGCGCGCGCGCGCGCACACACACACACACACACACACACACACAAAGCAGTCAATTCACTGGAGTCATGACTGTCCCAGCCTTGCCTCTTTCCATGGGAATGAAGAAGAGATAGGTGAAAAAGTAACATTATTAAGTACCTGCTGTATTACAGGGGCCCTCCATAATTCACAACCACCTGGTGACGGGACTTTTATTCCATTTAACAGCTGAGGAAATGGAGACTCCAAGAGCTGGAAAGGGGCAGAGCTGGGCCACGGCCAGGGCTGTCTGACCCCCTCCAGCATCACTTCTGGGTTCTCCCTGAGGTTGTGCCTGTGTCCTTTGCTCACCTCTCTTCCAGATCTGAGGTTCCCTGCTAGAAATGGGACCAGAATGTTCCCATCTGGTTCCCAACCAGGTCAAAAGAGAAAATCACTGGAAGAGATGGATTCCTAGTGCGGGGTGTGTGTGTGTGTGTGCGTGTGTGTGTGTGGTTGTCATACTTCCATACCCACCCCAGCATCCCCAGCTGGGCTCCCCTACTGTGGCAGTGTGATGCTCTGGAAGCAAGACTGATCACATCCCCCTCTCACCACTCATGGGTGCCCTCTGTCCTCTCAATAGCCCCAGGTCTGGTCCCTGTGGCTCCAACAGGCTGTGGGGCCTGGGGCACGTCCCTCCCCTAGGAATCTGTACTCCCTAAGGCAGCCGTCTTCCACTGGGGATGATGCCTAGGTCAGGCTTGTATTCAGAGCCTTTTCTTCAGATTTTTATATCTCCAGAACCTCTATCTACCTGTCTTCCTAGTTCGCTCCCCCTAGGAATGGCCTGGGGGCAACCTGAGCAGCCCCCCAGCTTGCCTTGGCTCTCAGGGAGAGCTGACACTTAGTTAGCCAAGATGAATACAAGATGAGTAAGGATCCAGTTCAGACTTGGCCTCCATGGCAACCAAAGCCCACCAGGCCCCAGCCCAAAGTCCTCAGCCCTCACTCCTCTTTTCTGCCCCCTCCACACCCAGCTCATTGGTCATCAAGCATTTTTCCTGTCGCACGGGTGCCCATGCTGTTCCCCTTCCTGGGCTGCCCTCCCAGCTCCTCCCGCCCCGTCCAAGGAAAGCAGCACAGTGTAGTGGGGAAGAGGGCAGGCTCTGAGGCAGGCCGGCAGCCATGGATGCGAGTCTGACTTGGCCACTTTCTAGCAGTGGGACTTGGAGCATGTGCCTCAATCTCCCCATGAACAGAAACGGTAACACCTCCTTCCCTGGGTTCCTATGAGGATTAAATACCAAACTTCCGAGAAGCAGAGCCCTGTGCCTGGTGAGTGCTCAATGAACGTAGTTATTATTATCATTAGCACAGTGCGGGGCACAAAGTGGGCATTCGGGAACGGTAGCCCTTGTAGCACAGCCAACACTCTGGGACCGCGAGTCCTCTCTCCTCCCTCAGCTCCTGACTGTCCGCAAATGATGTTCCGAATCCTTCGCCCATCTTCCCTGTCAGCACAGCCGCAACCCCTTGCTCCAGCCTCCTTCCTGCCCTCCTGCAGCCCCTGCTCCAGCCACTCTGCGGCCCACTCCGTCCCTGCTTACTTACCTCGGAGCCTGAGCTCCACCTGTCCCTTCTGCCCACTGGCACCTCCCTTTCCTGTGGGGGATCCCGAGTTCCTATGCCACGTCCTCTGTGACCCTCCTCACTTTTCCACCTGCCAGTGAGGCCTGCGCCACGGCCCCGGGGAAATCTCTGATCCAGGCACACAGGAAGCCATGCTGTCATTCGGCAATTTGACAAGACTGTTGTCCACAAGACTGTTAACCCCACCAGACAGGGAACCGGGTCTGATTGTCTCTGTGTCCCCAGAACCCACCTGGCATGGAGTCCAGCCCACAGTGGGTATCAGCAGATACTGGTCCCAGCCTGCCACCCGCCTTAACTTACTCAGGGCCTGGAGGCACTGCACACATGCGGGACACATGGGATTGTGAGGGCAGCTGAACAGCAAGGTTTAGAGAGGGCCCAGGGGCAGCAGCAGGGTGACTATCTGAAGCTGGGTCGGCAGGCTCAGGGCATGGCCAGCCTAAACTGGGGGTCAGGGGCTCAGGGCCTCTTCACTCCCCCAGGGGCACAGTGTAGGCGGCATGATGTGGGACACCCCAGGAAGGGCCAGGGATGGGGGTGGGTTTCCTTCCATCGGGCCAGGATGGAGTTGGTGCTGAGGACCCCATCACTCTAACTGGGGTATGGGTCTCAGGAACACCTTTGGGGCCAGAGTTAAAAGGGGAGGGGCACAGCCCACCCAACGCATCCCTCTGGTGTGGCTAGGCGCCAGCAGGTAGAGTCCCGCATGCAGAGCTCCCTCTAGGCTGCAGGAGGTGGAGGACCTGGGTGGGCAGGCGGGCGCGGCAGCAGGGGGCTCTGGGGAGCCTAGTCCAGTGGCCCCTGGAAAATTAGGCGGACGCAGCCATGCTCGCCGGTGAGCCAGGCCCCACAAAAGGGGCAGGCAGCATGGAAAGCGTGGGTGCCATGGGGCAGTGGTGTCTGGGCCCAGTAGCGGGCAGTCTTCTCAGAGCAGACGTGGCCACAGGGTGCAAAGGCATGGCTGGGCGGTCCGGGGTCCAAGCAGAGGCCGGCCTCCTGGCCAAGCCACAGGGGCACATAGGGCCCCACAAGACGGCAGAGAGGACACTCGCGCTCCTGGGGACCCCGCTCTCGCCGGCAGCCCCAGCCGTGGTAGCCGTGGACATGGCCGCAGCGAACGTAGACCCAGGGCTGCTGCTTGTCAGGTGCTGTGCGGCCACGGGCCGGGCTGGGGAAGGCCAGGGTGCTGAGGCCCACTGGGCACTGGGGCCGCGCTGCATTGGCCTCCTGCCGCTGGGCCTCCAGCTGCTTCAGCGTGGGTGCCCGCAGCAGCCCCGCCGGCGTGCGCCACAGCAGCGTGGCCCCACACAGGTCGATGAGGGAGCCGTCCTGCAGCACGTTGGACTCATTTTCCACCTGCCAGGGGAGCAGAAAGGCCTTACTGCCCAAGAGGCCCCCAAGCCCCTACCATTGGGCAGCCACCTCTCCAGCCTAGCCACCCACCCATCCCACTGACCCTCCCTGGAGTGTCAGGGCAGGCTGGGGCAGAGGGGCTATAACGGGCAGAACAGGGGACTGAGGCAGGAAAGGGGAGGGTTGGGGCAGAGGAGGGGGTAGGACCAAGAAGCCACGTGAGAGGCCGGTAGTTGCTCCCCGGCACACGGGGCCCCTCGCTCTAAGAAAAGCTATGGCCTTGGTGACCTCATCTGTCAAATTGGGAGGTCTGGACCCAAACAGAGTATTTCTAAAATGCTTTCCCAGGCTCTTCCCTAATGGCAGTGTCTTCTATCCGAAACACTGGGGACTGAGTCCAAAGCAGCTGTCCCAAGGGCCATGGTTAAAACACAGACTCTAGAGCTAAACTGCCTGGGAGTGAATTCTGGCCTCATCAGTTATTAAATCCATGTCCTTGGTCGAGTAACTCAGCCTCTCTGTGTCTTAATTTCCTTAGCCTCCAGAGGGACTCCACTTTCCTGCGTGTCAAGTGGTTCTTGTGAGTCAACCAACGTAAACTTGGAATATGCCTGGAACTTAGTGTATGCTAGTGAAACACTCACGTGCATAATTTTTTCAAATAATGTTTCCCCAAACCTCCCAGTAGAATTGATGCTCTGGAAAGATAAGCCATGTTTTTCCTTGAGGGTTTGCCTTTCCTTGCCTGACACATTCATACCCAGAAAGAGCTCTGCATTGCCCATTTGAGGACCTTGGCCAAATGACCTTAGGCAAGCTCCTACCTCTGGCTAGGACCCTCTCCCAGCTCCTAACATTAGTTTCCTATCTGTACCATGTGGAGCATTCACTGTCACCGTGTCAGAACTACTCCATGGGTTCTTTCCCGCTGGGAGAGGATAACAGAGCTAAACTCGTCTGAATGTGATAGACACGTTACAAACTGCCAACACTCTAGGCTATAAGCTGCTCACACATGGGCCAAGTGTCACCCTCCGAAGAGGGTGTGATTTTTTTAAGCTGCTGGCATCCTCTGAGCCATTTTGGTACTGCATGGGGTGTCTGTGTGTGCTCCACTTCCTATCACCCCATGGACCTCCCACAGGGGCAACACTTGGGGATGCTAGTCTGGTTCCCTCTGTGCAGCAAGTGGCACCTGCCCCCAGATAAAGCCTGTTGGGGCTCCTTTGTGCAGGAGGACCAGAGATCATCTCCTGGCTTGGGCAGGGAGACAGGCAGATTTGGAGGTCCCAGGAAGGATGACTGCATGGGGACGTAGGGATGGGGCAGACCACCTACCAGCTTCCCCCGCTGCTGTGCCGAGCGGCTGTCCCTCAGAGTATAGACGTTCCCACAGACTGAGATCTCCCGCCAGACACCTGGGGCTGAGTCCTCAGAGAAGCCGCCCGCTGGGTGCATCACCAGGACCCCATTGGTGGTTAAGCCGTCCATCAGGCCGTCGGGGGTCCGCCATTTGGCTGCCCGCTCCTGGGACCACATGTGGTATCAGACCACACCCCCAGCAGGTCATGAGCCAGGGGTGCTGCCCCTCTATCCTGAAGGTCACAGGTGGCCCAGAGAGGACTGAAGTTGGCGCTGCCTGACCTTGGGTACGATCTGACCTCTCTGAACCTCACTTTGCTCATTTATTAAGTGGGGTGTTAATCCCTGCAAAGGTCATAGCTATGATTACTGTGGGCCAGTCTATCACCCCAGGACGCTGCCCCTCTCCAGCCGACCCTGCAGCTCACTCTCAGATGAAGTGCTGGTCCCTGCCTAGGGCTCACTCACTCCGAGGAAGATGTTGCTGGAGGCGTCGAAGCCAGCGGCATAGATGCGGGCAGTGTAGGGCGGCCGGCGGTCACACAGGATGCGGCAGGCGTAGCGGGAGATGGTGCTCTGGGCAGAGGGGCCCTCGGCTGCCCCTCCTCCGGGCGACGTGTCTGTTACCACAAAGTCGATCATGTTCTCCGTGGAGCGGCCGATCTGTGAGGAGGGGAGGGCAAGCACAGGGGTGCTGCGTGTACAGATCAATCCCATGGGCTTCCCACCCCAGGCTCCTGGCAGCTGCCCCACACGTACGGTCACCAAACAATGAGAGGGCAGCACCATCCCAAGTCCCCGGGGGGCTCCAAGTCAAATTGCTGAGGTCTGGGGCTTCTCCCTCATCTCCCCCAAAGGTCTCAGGACACCCCACTCAATAAAAACTAGTAGAGTTGCTGACTGAACAGTGACAGGATCGTGGCCATGGTCTGGGAGTGCTCACATACTAGCAGCAATTAGTGAATTTTTAGGAAGTGTTTACTATATGCCAAGCACCATGTTAAGCATTTTATGTGCAATATCTCAGTTAATCTTCCCAACAATTCCATGTGTGGGTACGATTCTGGGCCCCACCTGAGCGATGAGGTAGCCAAGGCCTGGAGAAATTAGGTGACTCTTTCCCAAAGTCACCACACTAGTAAGCAATGGAGCTGGGATCTGAGGCCAGGCGGTGTGACTCTCACTCCGCACTCTGAATCCCTAAACAGTATGCCCTCCCACAGCTGGAGAGTCAGGTCTTGGGTCTGAATCTTGATACAGCTACTACTTGCTGTGTGACCCTCGCTGGGACATCCTGATTTCTCAGCTGAAGAGTGGTCGACTGCACTAAGGACCCCCAAAGCACCTTCCCCATGGCCTTTGGTCCTGCAGCCTCACCCTGGAAGGTGTGTAGACCTAAGCATTGAGGCTGGTGGCCAGGAGGCCTGTGGAGGGGCTGGAGCATACCTGGAACATGTCTGTGTCACTGTCATGTGTATACTCGACTATGACCGAGTGGCTCCGGGACAGTGTGTACGAGATGCTGTGCTGGCCCCGGTTACTCAGCGCCTGGCACGGAGAAAGGAGAAGTTACTTCCCAGGGCATGTGGCCACGAGGAGTGTGAGCCTCTGAGCTAGAAGCTGGAGCCTGAGGCCAGCGGCCTCTCCCGGGGAACGGTGGTTCTACCCTGTGCAGAGGGTGTACTATGCAGCCAGCACTTCACACAGGTACCTTATTTGCTCCCTCCAGCCACCCCAACAAGGAGGCATGGTTATTGTTTCCATTTTACAGCTGAGGGAACAGCAGCTCAGAGGAGAAGAAATTGGCCTAAAGTCAGGGAGCCGGAAAGAGCAGAGCCTCAATTCTAACCCAAAGGCTTCTCCTTTGCCATTGCTGTGTGACCATCATGTCCCCTCTCTGAACCCTGGCAGCCTCTCAAATGATGCTGATAATTTTGATCCAATGGATGGCGTCTGGTGGTCAAGAAAATGCTTTGCAAACTGTAAAGGACTGTGCACACTTCAAAGGCTCTCCCATCAGCACCATTTCTCTGGCAGCCCAACAGGCAATGAGTAAAGATACAGTGGGATCCCCGGCTCCAGTGGGGCTTGGGCAGGGGCCAGCACCAGGTCTGCTGGGACAAGCTGCTTGCCTTGGAGACGAGCGGCGTGGAGATGTGGTGCATGACGTCTGGCTTCACTCCGTTGGCATGTGGCCGGCGGCTCAGTGCCAGGCGGCTTCGCCGGCGACCCTTGTCCCCACTTGACAGACACCCATTGTAGCTGTGGATATGGGGAGTTAAGAAAAGGTTGCAGGGAGAGGGAGAGAAAAAAGTGAGCCCTTGAGAGACTAGGAGGAACTGCCAACTTCTGGGCAGATCCTATCTTGATAAACAAGCCCCAGGACCACCCGAAACCAGAATACTCTACTGTATCAAACTGGTGCCTTTGGGGAGCTGACTGGGTCAGAACATCTTCAGAAGACCTTTCATTCAATTAACCAGTGATTCCTGGCCCCCTGAGCCGTGCCTGGCTAGATGCTGGGCGCTGGGGTGGCATAGGTGATGCATCACAGATCAGTTCTGTGCCGTGGTGGTGGGGGAGAGGGGTCCTCAGTTTTTCAAGGAACCTGGGTGCCACCTGCCATCACCCAGGCACAAGTCAAGTGCACTAAAGGCTCAGAGGCAGGAGAAGGAATTCTGGCCCCAGGATCAGGTTTCTAGGAGAGGGGACACCTCTACTGGGCCTTGAAGAACTGGAAAGGAGTCACCCTTAGCAAACTGCCCTTTGTTACACCACAAGTGCTACTGGAAACCAGAATGCAAGAAACAAATAGACCCACAATGCCATCACCTCCATATATCCATTCACGTCAAATTTCTACCTTCCTTTCCAGCTCTTGTCCAGAGAAGATGACGTGGAAAGCAAGGATGGGGTGAATCACAGCCTCGATTGCTGCCATGTACTGGAGCCTCCCGTGTTCCTGGTGCTGCATGTTATTAATTACCTAATGAAACCTGTGCAATGTCTTGCCAGGCAAGTATCTTTCTTCCCATTTTATGAATGAGGAAAATTGAGGCTCAGGGAGGTAAAATGACTTGCCTGAGGTCCCAGGCTAATAAGTGAAAAAGTTTAGATTTGAACTCGGGTCTGTCTGACTCCAGCCTCTCTTGCAGAAGCGCTTTTAGAGGGAAGGCTCACCCTAAGCAATGGCCCCGAGGCTGGCAGAGCTTGATGAGATCAGGGCATGGTGACTCAGGTGGGGAAGTGCAAGAGAAGATGAGGTTGGTGGAAGGACCCAGATAACCAGGCTGAGGATTCTGGACTTTATTCTGTAAGCAGTGAGGAGCAACAGAGGGTCTGATGGGATGAAGAGCTACCAAATAGAGCAAAGGACCACCTGCTCAGAATCTCCTGGGGAGCTTGTTAAAATACAGATTCCTTGCCTTACCCATGGAGCTTGGGATGGGCCTGTCACTGGGTACTTTCAAAGTGATCTCCAGGTGGCTCTGATGTACAGCCAGTGTGGGCTTCACTGCTCTGCAGAGAACCAGCAGCTGTCAAGAAGGCCTGACCCCTAGGTCTGCGCTCTCCCCCATCAGTGGCCTCACCCTCATCTGCAAAGCCAGCCCTGCCTTTGGGACACCAAGCAGCTGCTATTCTAATGCAAGCACCCCTGAGAGGGGCATCATTCTTACCCTTGTAAGCTCTTTCCATGTATGGGAGTGGGGCAGTTCAGGACACAGGCTGGGGCTCAGAAGGGCCTGGGTGAAATCCTGGCTTGTCCATTTATCACATGACCTCTGTAAAATGGGGCTAATTAACAGGACCTACCTCATGGGTTCATTGTGAGAACTAAATGAGATAAAGCATTTTAAAATGCTTGGCATAGAGTTTGGCATCTATACAGCAAGACCTTGATGAATGTTAGCTATTATTTTTTTAAAAGCACATGGCATGTACATGTCAACAAACAGTAGCCGTTATTTGTCCTACAAAATCATCGTAACGATAACATTAGCTTCTCAGATAATTTCTTCAGGGCAGAAGGCAAAGAAAAAGGCCAAAAGGAAGTACATGTGGGGGAGGAAGAGGGATCTGTGCCTGGGGAAAGAGCAAAACTGGTGTTGCAGGGATCCTGGTCAGGCGGAGACCAGGAAGTCTACCGAGCCACCAACTCACATCACTTCCTCTCTCCTGACCTCAGTTTTCTCATCTGTAGCATGAAAATCACCTGTGGCTTAGTGAAAGTGCACTAGACCTAGAGTAAGAAAGACCTGGATCCAAATCCCAGCCCTGCCACTTACCAGCTGTGTGCCCTTGGACCAGTCACTTCCCCTCTCTGAGCCTCGGTTTCCTCACCTCCTTCCTCACAGCATCTTTGTGAAGATTGAAATGAAATAATGTCCATGAAAGAGCTTGGCACAGGCCTGCCTCCCAGAACACCTGATACGTGCCAGGCACTGTTCTACATGCTTTACAGAAATCACCTTATTCATTCCTTCCAACAACCCTCTGAGGTATCATCACCATCCCTGTTTGTGAAAGGGGAAAACGGAGGCACAGGGAAGTTAAACAACTTGCAGAGGCAGGATCTGAACCAAGCAATTTTGATGGAGAACCAGAGTTCTTCACCCCAAACTACACATACACACTAGGTGCTTTATGAAAGGCGGCAGCATTACTTTTTCCTGATCAGAAACTTAGGTGGGCAGTTAAGAGTTGTGTCAGTAATTTATGACAAATGGGAAAATAAAACCACAATTATGAATTAAGGTGGGTTTGGTCAACTCTTTCTCTCAGTTGGGGAGGCGAAGAAGGACAAATAGCAGGAGGTCATAGGTGGGGAGAACTGGGGCCCTTGGTTTGGTTGCCCTGGGGGTGCCGGGTGCCCCACCCCACCTGGACCGGGGATGCTCACCCCAGGACGATGAGTTCGCCGTACTTGATGGGCTCCTCGCCTGGTTGCACCTCTTCACCAGGAGAAGAGAGGACGCAAGAGCCCTGGTTCCCAGGGTGCTGGAGGTCTGAGGTTCGGGGAGCCCCCACTTCGGGGTTTCCTTCCAGCACCATTCTGGGCAAGACAGGAGAGGAGAGAATTTTGTAGCCTCCCATCCATCCTTCCTCACTGCCAGCTCTGGCCTGCGGCAGGGCCACCTAGGCTAAGGCCAGAATGACCTTTCACCGCCTCTGTTGCTATGGTAACCGCCTCACCTCTGCCTCTCCTAAACTGCCCTGGGTTGCTGGGATACCAGGGCAGGGAGTTGATAGGTGGGATGGAGCCGAGAGGGAGAGGCCACCCAGAGGATCCGAAAATTTCCTGGAGCCAGAGGGATGAACCAACTTGGGGTGGCCAGAAGCTTCTTTTTGGCCAGGACCCCAGCCTGGGATGTTTTTGGAAGAGGGGCGCCCCAGAAGTTGGGGGTCCTTAACTCCTCATCTTAGACTCAGTTCCTGGGTTTGGCCCTCAGCTCCCTCCCGTCAGGTTCTTGGAATCTGTCTGCGCTTCTTAATCTTTCTGCCCCTTTGCAGTGTCTGTCTGTTTTCTCAATGACTCGCCGTCCTCCCCGCTTCTGCGCTTTTCGCCATCTCCCTTCCCACCTCCTTCCCCATCTCCACCTGTCTGGCCGCCTGCACCTCCCTCTCCATCTGCCTCAGTCTCCCCATCTTGGCCTCGCCCCGCGAGCAGGCCTCCGGACCCATCTGGGCGCGCACCCCCGTCCTCCCTCAGGTGTCTGTCTGCAGTCCCCGGGCTGCCCGGGTCCCTGGAGGCCTGTGGGGGCGGCGCTCCCCCCTCCAGCTCCGGCTGCAGCAGAGCCCATCTCCGCAGGAAGCCTGTTTGGAAAACATCCCCGCGCAGGAGGGGCTCCGCCGGGCAG